GATAGAATCTGAGGTTTCAAACATTCCTACCTTGATAGAATCTGAGATTTCAAACATTCCCACCTGGATATAATCCTGAGATTTCAAGCATTCCTACCCAGATATAATCTGAGATTTCAAACATTCCTACCCGGATACAATCTGAGATTTCAAACATTCCTACCTGGATAGAATCTGAGATTTCAAACATTCCTACAATCTGAGATTTCAAACATTCCTACCTGGGTATAATCAAATTAAAGTTCAAAATCTCCTTCATCCAAGAATTGCAGAGAAACACAAAAACCTCCCTCCTTCCACTGCTGATTCTGCACACACAACTCCCTTAACTCTCCACGAGGAGCCTCCAGCTCCTCATTCCACCCTGAATTCCCAGCAAATCCCACTCTGCATGGAAGCAGATCCCATTCCATGGCATCTCTCATCTGATAAAGGTCTGATAAAGGTAATTTGCACACCCACATCCCACACAGAGATCCCAGGAGGCACCAAAACACGGCACAATCCCACAATGAGCAAGAAACTGTTCAAAAACGCCACAGAATCGTTTTAAAAATGGGATTTTTGGGCCTCCAGCTCCTCATTCCACCCTGAATTCCCAGCACATCCCACTGTGCATGGAAGCAGATCCCATTCCCTGGATCCCTCATCTCTCCAGTACCTGATAAAAGTTCATTTCCACACCCACATCCCACCCAGAGATCCCAAAACACGGCACAATCCCACAATGAGCAAGAAACTGCTCAAAAAACTCCACAGAATTGTTCTAAAATTGGGATTTTTGGGCATTCTGGAGCAGGGGGAGCTGCCCAGTACCTGTTGCAGAAATAAACGGCGTTGGCTGGGTTTAACTCGATGGCTTTTCCATAAAAAGACACGGCAGCCTCGAAGTTTTCTGCCTTCATTTGGTCATTTCCTGAAAGGAGGGTGGGAAAAGATGGGAAAAAACTGGGATAAACCAAAGCAAAGGGCTGGATCCATGGAAATAGCACAGGGGAGAGGTTTGTCAGAGTGGGGCAGGGCCAGCAGTGAGGCTGTGCTGGAAATTCTCCCATTCCTGATCCTGAATCCCAAAAACCACCCCAGGTGCTGCACCCACACCCATCCCATTTTTCCCAGGAAAAAGCCATGCACAGAGCAGGAAGGATGGATGCTCTGCTCCACACCCCACAGGATTTTTGGAATAAAAATCCCACAGATCCAACAGCAAAACCTCCCCACATTCCTGCATCCCAAGCAGAGCAAGAGGCAGAAATACAAAACAAAATAGAAAACAAAATAGAAAAGATTCCCTTTTTTCCTCCAACTCCAGGTGCCAGGGAATTGAGATTTGGTCCCAATTAGCACCAAACCCTCGTTATCCAGCAGCTCCAGGGGTTTGGTACCTTCAGTCTTGAGTCTTTCAGCCTCAGCCACGTCATCTTCTGAGGGGGTGACGGGCTCCGAGTTCGTCCTGGAGTGTTCCAGCTCCTTCCAAGGAGAGGCACAAGCTGAGCTGAGCATTCCCACAATTCCCACCAATTTTTCCCCCTCCCACACTCTCTGAGGGGAGCAGCAGCCTCCTGGAAAATCCAGAAGAATTCAGGGAAAAGGGAACATCCCAGGGCTCTCACTCACCTTCCCTGCCACGGCTTCAAATATTTCGGGGAGGGTCTGGGACACAGCCAGGCTTTGGTCTTCCATGGAGACCCCAAACGCTGTTTCCAGGCACTGGATGGCCACTGGATAAGGAGAGTTTTTAAAATTAATTAATTATTAATTATTAAATATTCATCCCTCTCCCTAATCTCTCAAAAAAACAGGGAAAAAAACCCCCAATATTTCCCCCACACCAGGTGGGATTTTTGGGCTGTATTTTCAGATTTTGCCAAAACTCAGAGGTGGGCAAAGCTTCCCTCTGGATGTCCTGGATGGAGCCAGTCCCAATTCCCATTCCCTGAAGAATTCGCCCTCATCTTTCAAAAAACCAGGAAAAAATCCCAATATTTCCCCCACACCAGATGGGATTTTGGTTCTGTATTTTCAAATTTTGCCAAAACTCAGAGGTGGGCAAAGCTTCCCTCTGGGTATCCTGGATGAATCCAGTTCCCATCCCTTGAGGGATTCTCCCTCATCTTTTAAAAAAATCAGGAAAAAACCCCAATATTTCCCCCACACTGGATGGGATTTTTGGGCTGTATTTTCAAATTTTGCAAAAAATTCAGAGCTGGGCAAAGCTTCCCTCTAGATATCCTGGATGGAGCCAGTCCCAATTCCCACTCCCTGAAGGATTCCTGGGGTTGGAAGTGAATCAGGCTGAGGCTGCTGCAGCATTTCCACAGCTGGGGAATGTGGGAATGCCCCAGAATTCCAAGGAAAAATCCTTCCCCATCATTCCAGACCCAAACACTCCCCTCACTCTGGGAGCCCTGAGCCATCTCCTCCCTCCACAGGCTTGGGAAGCTGCTCCCAGGGAAAAGCAGAGCCTCCCAGAGCCTTCCTGCCACATTTTTCATCCCAAAATATCCCACTCCCAGCAATGTCCCCCCACCCCACAGCCACGCTCCTTTCACTGTGACAAACCCACAAACCCAGGGCTAAACCTTAATCTCCTTAAGGAGACCTTTTAAGATCCCTGCCCTTTGAAAAGGTCTGGAAAAACCTTCAGGAATGATATTTTGGGGAGCAAAAGAGGAGAAACAACTCCAGGAGCACAAAAAGTTTCCCTGGAGTCAGGGAATTCTCATTTCCCACCCCACAGAGCGCTCCCAGCTTGGCCTGGATGAACCCTCCGAGTCTCCAAGCAGGGATCAGGGAGGATTCTGAGCCCAGGTACATCCAGCTAAGCTGCTCTTGGCAGAGATCAGAGGCCACACAAGCCACCAGCATCCCTGGATAAATCCCAAACGGAAAAAATCAACCCCAAAATTCCAGCGAGGTTCAGCACCGGGAGCAGCCCAGCCAGAAAACAGGGAAAAAACGGCGAAATTCTCCCAAATTTTGGCCTGACAGAGGCAGATCCACCCACCTTCCAAACTCTCCTGAGCATCTGGGGACATGCTCCCATTCTGGAGCTGGGTGTGCAGGAACTGGATGATGGAGAAGGCCAGACGCTTCTGGTCTGCCATGCTGGGCTCCACCGCTCCTGGCTTCCCAAAAAATCCTGCAGAGACACAAACCGGGCATTGAAACACGAAAGGGAAAAGGATTTTGGTGCTGCTGCCCCTCAGGGAGGTGCTGGGGAGGTGAGGATGGTTTTGGAGTTGGTAAGAACTCCGGAACATTCTTTATTTTCTTTAGGAACTCTCCAGGTTTGGATTCGCCCTCTGCTCGGCACAACCATGCCAAGGGAAGCACCCAGAGGTGTTGAAATCCCTGGAACCCACCAGGAAAAACTCACAGTTTTCTTGCTCCTTAAACCAAGGGCCAAGAGCAGGAGGAATTTAGGAGGAATTTGGTGACCCCCAAACCAGAGCCAGGAGCAAGAGAAATTTAGGAGGAATTTGGTGGCCCCAAAGCAGAGCCAGAACCAGGAGGAATTTAGGAGGAATTTGGTGGCCCCAAGCCAGAACCAGGAAGAATTTGGCAGCCTCAAACCACAGCCAAGAACAGGAGGAATTTAGAGGGATTTTGGGGGCCCCAAAGCAGAGCCAAGTGCAGGAGGAATTTGGGAGGAATTTGGCAGCTCCAAACCAGAACCAGGAGGAATCTGATAGCTCCAAAGCAGAACCAAGAGCATAAGGAATTTGGTAGCCCCAAACCAGAGCCAGGAGCAGGAGGGATTTAGGAGGAATTTTGTGGCCCCAAACCAGAACCAGGAGGAATTTGGCAGCCCCAAACCACAGCCAAGAACAGGAGGAATTTAGAGGGATTTTGGTGGCCCCAAAGCAGAGCCAAGGAGGAATTTGGTGGCTCCAAACCAGAGCCAAAAGCAGGAAGAATTTAGGAAGAATTTGGTGGCCCCAAACCAGAGCCAGGAGCGGGAGGAATTTAGGAGGAGTTTGGTGGCCCTAAAGGAAAACCAAGGAGGATTTTGGTGGCCCCAAAGCAGAGCCCAGGAGGATTTGGCAGCCCCTGGCAGCCCGGGCAGTGCCAGCCCGTCCTGGCAGGGCACAGGGAGGGAAATCCCAAAGCAGGGAGAGCCCAACCAGCAGCGCCCGGAGCTGGGAATTCCCAGAGCAAACTCCCCGCCCTTTAAGTGGGTTTGTAGCACAGCCAGGCTCAGTTAACGGAGACACGAGCTCCGTTTAACGCGAGCCCACCGGAGCTGAGCCGGTCCCGTCCGCCCAGAGCCCCGGGAGCAGCACCGGGCCCGCCTGGCTCCCGTTCCCCGGCAGCCCCTGGACCCACCGGGCGGAGAGGGGAAGGCGCCGCTCCCCGGTGTCCCCAAAGCCCCGCGAGCACCGCCCGGACCCTGCCCCGGTGGAAACAACCGGGGATCCCCGGTTACCGGTGCGCTCACAGGGACCGGGACGGGCGATCCCCGAGCCTGGCACCGGCAACACCGGAGACACACAGGTCCCAACGGAGGGCACAGCCCGCTCCCGGTACGTCCCGTCCCGTCCGGTCCCGCCAGGCCAGGCCCCGGTGCACCCGGTACCCCCCCGGTGCCACTGCCCCCATGCGGAACAGAACGGCGGCAGCACGGCCCGGCACCAGCGGGTCTGGAGGCGGAGGGGTCCCGGCGGAGGGCCGGTCCCGGTGCCCCCGTCCCGCTCCCGGTGTCCCCCGGTCCCCCTGCGCTCACCGGACACTCGCCTGGGCCGGGCGCGCTCCCGCACTGCGCATGCGCCGCGCCCTCGGCGCGCCGGCTCCGCTGCGGCCCCGCCCCTCCCGATAGCACAAGAATGGGCGTGGCCCGCGGCGGAAGCCCCGCCCACAGCGGTACCATAGAGATGCTGCGTTGTCCCGGCAACGCGCGGGGGCGTTGCCATGGGAACGGGCGGGCGGGACCCGGGGATGCTCCGCGCCCGCCCCGCGCCCGCCCCGGGGCCGCTCCCGGCCGGCTCTGAGGGTCGCGGCGGGGATGAGCCGCCCCCGCTGCCCCGTCCCGGTGCGGTGCCGTGCGGGCGGGAGCGGCCCGGTCCTCCAGGCTCCCAGCATGCCCCGCTCTCCCGCCCGCCTCTCCGGTCGGGGCACATGCTCGGTGCGTGGGGCCGGCCCGGTTTCCTCCCGGCCTCGTCAGCAACGTGGGGCCTCCCGGTATCCCCGGCACAGCCGACATGGCCCCTCCGACAGGTACCGGCGGGATGGGGGGCGCGGGGACACCGGGGAGAGCGGGACACCGGGAGGAGCTTTGGGGCGGTGGGACCGGACCGGGGGCGGCGGGACCGGACCAGGGGTGGCAGGACCGGACCGGAGGCGGCCCCTCAGGCCGGCCGGGGTCTCCTGTGCCGCCAGGTCACCTCTGTCCCCGAGCAGGACAGCCTTGGCAGGGACACCGGGCCGGGCACGGGGTCGGGTTTCGGTGAAGCATTTCCCAGCCCCGGGAGGGCTCGGATCTCCCGGGACATGATCCCAGCGCGAATCCCCAACGCTGGGGCCCTCCCTGGAATTCTGCCCCGCAGGGAATGTCGTGGACAGCCAGGCCCCGCGTCCCCTGGCCAGCCAGCTGCGCTGGGACCTGACGGCCGAGCAGATCGAGGCCATGGCGGCCGAGCTGACCGAGAGCACCAAGCTCGTGTACGACCGCGTGGGAGCCCAGGAGCGCGGCGAGGTCTCCTACGAGAACACCCTCAAGGCTCTGGCCGACGTGGAGGTGGAATACACAGGTGGGGAGGCTGATCCTGCTGGCAGGGGTGGGGTGGGATGGATGCCGGGATGTGGCATTGACATTGTCTGGACAGACAGACAGACAGGATTCGCTCTGTCTCAGGTTTTTGCTGGAGTGCTGTTCTTGGGGCTCCTGCGGGGATGGCAGCAGGGAATGTTCTTGTTTTGCTCCGTGGAATTGCATCAGGACAGGGCGTGGTGGCTTTTGGGGAAGTGGGTGTAGGAAGGGATTGTCCCATTTCGAGCTTTAATGGAGACGGGGAATGCTGTTACCATCAGGAATCATGGAATTCTGGACCTGGAAGGGAGCATCGAGCCCTGCACAAAATTTCCCAGACCACCTGTGCTGGCAGAGCTTTTGTAGGCTCACAGGCACAGAATTCCTGTAGATTTTAGGAGAATTGTGGTGGAAATCCAGCAGGTGGATGTGCTGGGCAGCAGGAAAGGGACCAAAGGGAGCAGGAGCTGCTGCCATCAGGAATCATGGAATTCCTCAAGCTGGAACTGAGCATGGAGCCCTGCACAAAATTCCCCAAACCTCCTGTGCTGGCAGAGCAGAGCTTTTGTAGGCTCACAGGCACAGAATTCCCGTGGATTTTAGGAAGATTTTTGTGGGGATCCAGCAGATGGACATGCTGGGCAGCAGGAAAGGGACCAAAGGCAGCAGGAGCCATCAGGAATGATGGAATTCCTCAAGCTAAAAGGGAGAAGCACAGAGATCAAAACAATTCTTATTTGCTGCTCCTGTGTTTTGGAACACGTGGGATGTGTTAAATTATTTACCTGAAAGAATTTGATTAGATTCTAGTGTGTTTTGTTTTCTTCACCGATCTCTACAAGCTGTGTCCTGACAGGAGACAATCACAAAATTTTGTTGAGTGCTTGTACAGCTTCAGTTTAGAGGAGTGTACTATAGTATAAAAATATAATATAATATAATATAATATAATATAATATAATAATTAATTCGCCTTCTGATATCACAGAGTCAGGGGTGTTGCCTAATTTTACAGTAATGGGAGGCTCTGAGCTTGCCCAGAGCAGCTCTGGCTGCCCCCTGGAAGGGTCCAAGGCCAGGTTGGAGCCACCTGTGGGAGATGTCCCTGCCCACAGCAGGGCTGAGCTCTGAGGTCACTTCTACCCCCTCCCACGATTATTAAGATTTTTGGATTTTATTTTTTTTTTTTTTTTTTTTAGCTCTGTGCTGTCACCTGCTTCTCTCTCCCTGTGGCTGCCAGCAGAATGTTGGTTTTATTCCCAGTTAATGTTTATACAGCAAGGAACCAGCACAAAGAACAGATTTGGAACAACAAATGAACCCAAGGGCAGCCCTTTGGCAGCAGGAGCAGCTGCTTTGCCAAGGCTGTCCTGGCTTTCATGTGTCACCAGTGGGAACAAAAGCAGAAAAGATCCAAGGAACTCTCACCTCCTTCCTCAGTTTTCCCTGGGGCAGTGGGCAAATGTCTCTCCATGGGCCTTTTTCCTGCTGGGATATTTTTGGGAATAAATCCTGCTGTGATTTTTTTGGGAGAGTAAATCCTGTTGGGATTTTTTGGAGAATAAATCCTGCTGGGATTTTTTTTTTGGATAATAAATCCCACTCTGATTTTTGGGAGAGTCAACCCCACTGGGATTTTTTTTTGGGAGAGTAAATCCTTCTGGGATTCTTTGAGAGAATAAATCCTGCTGGGATTTTTGGGTAGAATAAATCCCACTGCGATTTTTTTGAGAGAATAAATCCTGTTGAGATTTTTTTGGGAGAGTAAATCCTACTGTGATATTTTGGGAAAATCAGTCCTAGTGTGATTTTTTGGGAGAATAAATCCTGTTGGGATTATTTTTGGGAGAATAAATCCTGCTGGGATATTTTGGAGAATCAATCCTGCTGGGATATTTTTTGTGAGAGTAAATCCTGCTGAGATTTTTTTTGGAGAATAAATCCCAATCTGATTTTTGGGAGAGTCAACCCCACTGGGATTTTTTTGGGGAGAGTAAATCCCACTGGGATTTTTTGGGAGAATAAATTCTGCTGGGATTTTTGGGAGAGTAAATCCTGCTGGGATTTTTTTTGAGAATAAATCCTGCTGGGATTTTTTGGGAGAGTAAATTCTGCTGGGATTTTTTGGGAGAATAAATCCCACTGGGATTTTTTGGGAGAGTCAATGCTGCCATTATTTTTTGGGAGAGTCAGTTCTGCTGGGATTTTTTGGGAGAATAAATCCTGCTGGGATTTTTTGGGAAAATAAATCCTGCTGGGATTCTTTGGGACAGTCAGTCCTGCTGGGAATTTTTAGGAGAATAAATCCCACTGGGATTTTTTGGGACAGTCAGTCCTGCTGGGATATTTTGGGAGAGTCAATCCTGCTGGGAATTTTTAGGAGAATAAATCCTGCTGGGATTTTTTTGTGCAGCTTTGGTGGTTTATTTGCAGCAGGGTGACAGTTCAGGTGGCCCCTCCTCGTGACACCTGGGCTGCTCAAGCTGCCCCACCTGTCTGGGGCAGGGAGCAGCCTCATCTTCCTCCTCTCCCCGTTCTTTTTTCCTGAAATAATAGGGAAAAAAATAATTCCTCTTGCTCAGCAGGAGGAGTGTTCAGCTCAGCAGGGCTGTCAGCACTTCCCTGGCTGAGCTGCCTGTTCAGCTTCTCCTGGAGAGAGGATCCAGGTGTCTGGAGAGCACCTGGAGTGCTGCTCTTGGAGCTCCTGCAGGGATGGCAGCAGGGAATGTTCTCCCTGCTTTCCTCCCCTGTGGAATTGCATCGGCACAGGACACACCTGGGGCGTGGTGGCTTTTGGGGAAGTGTCTGTAGGAAGGGATTGTCCCACTTTGAGAGTTAAAGGAGACAGGGAATGCTGTTACCGTGAGGAATCATGGAATTCTTCAAGCTGGAAGGGAGCATTGAGCCCTGCACAGAACTCCCCAAACCTCCTGTGCAAAGCTGTTGGGGGCTCACAGGCACAGAATTCCTGTGGATTTTAGGAGGATTTTGGTGGGGATCCAGTGTGTGGATGTGCTGGGCAGCAGGGAAGGGACCAAAGGCAGCAGGAGCTGTTAGCATCAGGAATCATGGAATTCCTCAAGCTGGAAGGGAGCATCAAGTCCTGCACAGAGCTCCCCAAATCTCTTGTGCTGGCAAAGCTTTTGAGGGCTCACAGGCACAGAATTCCCGTGGATTTTAGGAGGATTTTGGTGGGAATCCAGCACATGGACATGCTGGGCATCAGGGAAAGGACCGAAGGGAGCAGGAGCTGCTGCCATCAGGAATCTTTGAATTCCTTGAGCTGGAAGCATCAAACCCTGCACAGAACTCCCCAAACCTCCTGTGCAAAGCTGTTGGGGGCTCACAGGCACAGAATTCCCGTGGATTTTAAGAGGATTGTGGTGGGAATCCAGCAGATGGACAGCAGGGGAAGGACCAAAGGGAACAGGAGCTGCTGCCATCAGGAGTGATGGAATTCTGGAGCTGGAAGGGAGCATGGAGCCCTGCACAGAACTCCCCAAACCTCCTGTGCTGGCAAAGCTTTTGTAGGCTCACAAACACAGAATTCCTGTGGATTTTGGGGGGATTGTGGTGGGAATTCAGTGGGTGGGTGTGCTGGGCAGCAGGGAAGGGACCAAAGGGAGCAGGAGCTGTTACCATCAGGAGTGATGGAATTCTGGAGCTGGAAGGGAGCATCGAGCCCTGCACAAAACTCCCTGTGATGTCAGAGCTGTTGGGGGCTCACAGGCACAGAATTCCAGTGGATTTTAGGAGGATTGTGGTGGGAATCCAACGGGTGGATGTGCTGGGCAGGTGAAAGGTGGATGTGCATCCCATCTCTCCCTTTGTGCGTGTGTGAGGGGAGGGAAAGGCTCTGGGGCTGCCAGCCTGGCTGTGGGTGTTCACTGGGACATGAAGCCACCATCCCTGTCCCTTTTTGTCCCCCCAGTCCGTAGGAACATGCTGGACTTCCCCCAGCACGTGTCCCCATGCAAGGCCATCCGCGCCGCCAGCACCGAGGCCGACAAGAAGCTCTCGGAGTTTGACGTGGAGATGAGCATGAGGCAGGACGTGTACCAGAGGATTGTGTGGCTCCAGGTGTGTCCCCTGCCTGGCTGGAACCCCCTGGAATTCCAGCAAATCCTTTTCCTTCATCCGACTGTGATTTTTTGGGAGAATCAGTCCTGGTGTGATTTTTTGGGAGAGTAAATCCTGTTGGGATTTTTTGGAGAATAAATCCTGCTGGGATTTTTTTTGGATAATAAATCCCACTCTGATGTTTGGGAGAGTCAACCCCACTGGGATTTTTTTAGGAGAGTAAATCCCACTGGGATTCTTTGAGAGAATAAATCCTGCTGGGATTTTTTGGGAGAATAAATCTTGCTGGGATTTTTGGAGAATAAATCCCACTGGGATTTTTTGGGAGAGTCAATGCTGCCGTTATTTTTTGGGAGAGTCAGTTCTGCTGTGATTTTTTGGGAGAATAAATCCCGCTGGGATTTTTTAGGAAACTAAATCCTGCTGGAATTTTTTGTGCAGTTTTGGTGCAGGAGGGAAGGATGCAGGGGTGGGGAGGGAGCGCGGTGGGGTCACGGCAGAGTGGCACAGCTGGAGTGAGGGATTTTTTGGGAGAGTCAATTTGGGATGGGGAATTTGGGATTGAGGGCTCTGCCCCCTCACTCAGAGCCTTGATCACCCCTTTGTTGGTAAATCCAACCCCCCTCAGTGGTGATGTCCCCCAAAATGCTGACGTGGCACAAAGGTGATGTGTTTAAAGCAATCTGGGAGGAATCCTTTCCCCGAGGTGACACAGGAACCTCTGCACCAAACCAGAGCCTTCCCTGGGGCTTTTCCATCTGCTGCTGGGTCTGTGGTATTCCCAGAATTCCCACTGGGAAGCAGCTTCCTGCAGCTCCCTGAGGAGAGGAGATTTGTTTTGTTTTCCAGGAGAAAGCAGAGAGTGCTTCCCTGAAGCCTGAGGCAAAGAGGTACCTGGAGAGGCTGATCAAGCTGGGGAAGAGGAACGGGCTCCACCTCCCCGAGGAGACACAGGAGGTGAGAGCACAGAATCCTGGAATGGTTTGGGCTAAAGGCACCTTAAAGCCCATCTTCCACTGTCCCAGGTTGCTCCAAGCTGGCCTTGGACACTTCAGGGTAGGGGCAGCCACAGCTGCTCTGGGAAATCTGTGCCAGGGCCTCCGCACCCTCACAGGAAGGAATTTTTTTCCTAAAATCCCATTTAATCCTATTTCCTGCCAGTCTGAATGCATTTCCCCTTGCTGTGGCAGGGCTCGGGGCAGGGTGTGAGGCTCAGGTTTGGGTTTTGCTCCCAATTCTGGTGATTTTGGGTGATGTCTCCAGCTCCCCCTTTTTCCTTTCCGTTTAAAGGGTGATTTTAACAAAGTGGGAGTTGAGGAATTCCTGGGGAGGTGAAATTGGGGAATTAGCACCAAATCCCCACATGCCAAGGGCTGGAGTTGGGCTGAGCTGCTCAGGGGCCTCCCTCTCTTACCATGCACCAGCAGAGGAGCTCAGAACTGGGTTAAAACCAGAAAAAAATGGGAAATAAGGAGGGAGGAGGTTGTTTCTGCAGCACCTGCAACTCCTGAGGCAGCAGGGAACAGGCAGGACCTGCTGAGGTGGCTGAGCCCTGCCAGGTGTGACCCCAGGAGCCTTTCTGGGCTGCTGGCTCACCACCATTAATTGTGCACCATCATTAATTGGGCTGGCTCAGAGCTGGGCAGCTCAGCAGGGTGGGAACAGCCTGAGTGCCCCCCCAGCTCTGACTTCTCTCCGATTTTTTTTGCATTTTGAAGAAAATCAAAGCTATCAAGAAGAAGCTGAGCGTGCTGTGCATCGACTTCAACAAGAACCTCAACGAGGACACCACCTTCCTGCCCTTCTCCAGGGAGGAACTGGGTATGGAGGGCTCACACTGGATGGTCCCAGGGCATTCCTGCAGAATCCAGAGCTCAGCTCCTCCCTGCTCTTTTCCCAGGGGGGCTCCCTGAGGATTTCCTGAACTCCCTGGAGAAGACAGAGGATGGGAAGCTGAAGGTCACCCTCAAGTACCCGCACTACTTCCCCCTGCTGAAGAAGTGCTACGTGCCTGAGACCAGGAGGAAGGTGGAGGAGATGTTCAACTCCAGGTGCAAAGAGGTCGGTGGACTGATCAGGGCACCCAGGGAGAGATTTGTGCTCCTTTCCACACTGCTTCCCTTGTCCCCTGTGTGATATTTTATGAACAATCTCTTCACCAGGATTTTTCATAAAATATGATAATTATTCTCCTGGATAGCTTCAGCTTCTCTCTGTTTTGCTGGTTTAGAATGTGATTTAGAGAATTGTTTATTAAGCACGTAAATTGTTTTAATTTAATGGCCAATCACAGCCAACTGTGTCAGACTCTCTGAGTCTGTCATGGGTTTTTATGATCATTTTTTTTCTAATTTTCTGATATATTTTTTCTCTTTCTTTAGTATAGTTTTGGTATATGATTTTAGAGTATAATACAATGAGATATAATATGATATAATACAATGTGATATAATTATGTTATGTATATTATATTATATTATATTATATTATATTATATTATATTATATCATATCATATTATATCATATCATATCATATCATATTATATCATATCATGTATATTATATTACATATATAATATATATTTTATATAATATCTATTAGAATATATATTCTTTATATTATATAATATATTACAATATATATTGATATAATTATAGAAATAATATGTATTTATATAAATATATAATATATTATATGTTATATAATATAATGCAATATAACATAACATAATATAATTAATACAATACATTGCAATATAATACAATATAGTACAATATAATACAATACAATGCAATATAATACAATATAATATAATATATTGCAATACAATATAATACAATATAATATAATATATTGCAATACAATATAGTACAATATAATTTATTTAATAACAAATCAGCCTTCTGAGAACTTGCAATCAAATTCTCATCTCTCACCTTCTCCTGGCACCCACAACACCACCACACGTGTACTTCACTCTCTGCCTTGCAGGAGAACTGCCTGATCCTGAAGGAGCTGGTGGACCTGAGGGCTCAGAAGGCCAATCTGCTGGGCTTCAGCACCCACGCTGACTTTGTGCTGGAGATGAACATGGCCAAGAGCAGCCAGACGGTGGCCACGTTCCTGGGTACGTCCTGGGGCCTGCCCAGCACATCCTGGGCTGGGTGTGCTGCTCTGATCCCTGATCCCAACCCTGCCTGCCTTCCCCAGATGAGCTGGCCCAGAAGCTGAAGCCCCTGGGGGAGAAGGAGCGGGCTGTGATCCTGGACCTGAAGAAGAAGGAGTGCGAGAAGCGCGGGCTGGACTTCGACAACCGCATCAACGCCTGGGACATGCGCTACTACATGAACCAGGTGGAGGAGACCAAGTACAGCGTGGACCAGAACCTGCTCAAGGAGTATTTCCCCATGCAGGTGGTCACCACGGGCCTCCTGGCCATCTACCAGGAGCTGCTGGGTCTCACTTTCCACCTGGAGGAGAAGGCTCAGGTGTGGCACGAGGACGTGCAGCTCTACACCGTGAGGGACGCGTCCTCCGGCGAGACCATCGGCAAGTTCTACCTGGACCTGTACCCACGGTGAGACCTGGGGAGAGGGGAAATGTGGGAGCAGGAGGAGCAGAGCCTGAGGAGGAGAAGGAGGAGGAGGAGAAGGAGGAGGAGGAGAAGGAGGAGGAGGAGATTCCTGCTCCCAGCTGTGTGGAGTGGAGGGAGCGCCGTGTGCTGGGGCAGGGATGTCACCAAGGGCCGTCACTTGGGGCGGCTCTAAGGACCACAATGGGTGATGCCATGGCTCTGTGTGGCTTTTGGAAGGATCCTGAGCCTCCTGTCTCTCCCCAGGGAAGGGAAGTACGGCCATGCTGCCTGCTTTGGCCTCCAGCCCGGCTGCCTCCTGCCAGACTCCAGCCGCCAGATCTCAGTGGCCGCCATGGTGGCCAATTTCACCAAGCCCACACCAGACGCCCCTTCCCTGCTGCAGCACGACGAGGTGGAGACCTATTTCCACGAATTTGGGCACGTCATGCACCAGCTGTGCTCTCAGGTGAGGCCTCCCTGCGCTGGCACAGCTTGGGGCTTTTCCCCCATCCCGTTTTTTTGTGGAATTGCGAGCTGGCCGTGTCCCCCAGGCGGAGTTTGCCATGTTCAGCGGGACACACGTGGAGAGGGACTTCGTGGAGGCCCCGTCGCAGATGTTGGAGAACTGGGTGTGGGAGAAGGAGCCTCTGCTGCGCATGTCCAGGCACTACAAGACAGGGAGCCCCATCCCGGATGAGCTGCTGGAGAAACTCATTAAATCCCGGCAGGCAAACACAGGTGGGAGGGATTGGATGTCCTCTGGGTGTGGGGACAGGAAGGGGACACTCAGTGACCTGGCTGGGGACAAAAAAGGCTTTTCCTTGCTCGCCGTGGTGCTGGGGGTTCTGAGGGGATGGGGAGAAGGAACCCCTTTGTCCCTTTCACATGGTACATCACCCTTTCTCTTCCCAGGCATGTGGGAAGAGAGAGGGTGATGTGGCACGTGAAAGGGACAAAGAGGTGTCACCCAGCCTGCCCAGCTGCCACCTGCCTCAGTGTCAGCATCCCAGCCTCAGTTTCCCCCTTCCTCCTCTTCCTCCTTTTGGCAACAGGGCTCTTCAACCTGCGCCAGATCGTCCTGGCCAAGGTAGACCAGGCACTGCACACCCAGACCAAGGCTGACCCCGTGGAGGTGTTTGCCCAGCTCTGTGAGGAGGTGCTGGGTGTCCCTGCCACCCCAGGTACGCCGTGCCACCCTCCTGTCCCTCTCGCCCTGTGACAGCTCAGCGAGTTCCTCCCGTGTGTGTGGGGACAGTTCCTGCTGGCTCTGGGAAAAGCAGGGCTGGAAAGTTCCTCCCTTTGTCCCCTGGGTTGTGTGAGCAGCTGGGACAGCACTGGAGGGGTTTTTTCCCATGGGGAGGAGTGGAGTCCCTTTTGACCCCTTTTGTCCCCTCAGGTACAAACATGCCAGCCACCTTTGGCCACCTGGCTGGGGGCTATGATGCTCAGTACTACGGCTACCTCTGGAGCGAGGTGTACTCCATGGACATGTTCCACACCCGCTTCAAGCAGGAGGGAATCATGAACTGCAAGGTAGGGATGGCAGCGTTCAAAACACAGAATCACCAGAATGATTCTGTGCAGGTGCTTTTATTGAGGAGCTCTGGGTGTCAGGGGTACAAACCCAAATCTGACATGTTCCTCCCGAATTTTGGGATGAACATCTTTTTATATTTTTATATAATTTTCATGTTAATTATTAAACTTATATTGTATACATAGATTTCAGCCAAGCATGGGCTCCTCATGGCCCCCCTTAAAATTCTAACATAGTTTCTCAAGATTCTTCTTATGATTATACAGTAATTATATTTAATTACTAAACAATCATCACATCTAACAATTATATATATATTTACATATATATACATATATATTTACATATATATACATATATATGTGTATATACATATATATTTACATATATATACATGCATATATATACATACATATATACACACATACATATTAACTATTATTAGTAATATTATTATTATATATTTATATATCATTGATGTTATAATTATTATTAATATTATTATATATTGATATATTAACATATATATATATATATATAATATACTGCTTATGCAGGTGCAATGATCTGGCAAAACTCTGACATTTTCAGAGTCCATCTTTAACATTTCTCCAGGGCCCCACTATCAGGGGCAGGGTTCTGTGTGCATGCCCAGGGTGGGTGTGCCAGCCCTGCCCATATGTGTGTGTGTTTGTGTGTGCCCACAGGTGGGCATGGATTACAGGAAGTGCATCCTCCATCCCGGTGGCTCCGTGGATGCTTCAGACATGCTGAGGAGGTTCCTGGGCAGGGAGCCCAAGCAGGACGCCTTCCTGGCCAGCAAGGGACTGAAGGTGGAGAGCAACTCGGTGCCTTCAGCCTGAGAGGTGCTGCAGGGCCCTGGCAAGGGGGAAAATCTCCTGCCCACGCACCTGCCCTCGCCTGGTTCCTGTTACCAAACACCCCCTGCCTGGAGCTGCCCCTCTGAGCCCCTCCTGAGGCTCTGTGGTGACACTAAGGTGACCTGCCCTTGTCACCCCAGGGTTTTGTGGGTCACCCCCATCAATTGGCTGAACTTTGAACCTGATTTTCTGCACAAGGGTGAGTTTTGGCTTCGTGTGGAGCCGGGGAGGAGGGGGAGAGGAGTTCCCAAACTTGAATCTTTGTTTTTAAATCCCTTCTCTTTTAAGAAGCCTCGTTGTTGTTGTTGTTGCCACCTTGGCTTGGTTTGTGACACAGCTGTCACCAGGGCAGGGACAGCCCTGCTCTCCCCATCTTTGGGCACCTCTTGGCTGTGCAGTAAAGATGGGGAGATCCCAGAGCTCCAAACCCACAGGGAATGAACTGGAACATCCTGCCCTGAACCCCTCAGGGACCTTCCTGCCTGGCAGGGGGACAGAGGTGCCCGGTGCAGGTGTTCCAGAACAGGGGCTTTGGGGACCTCTGTGGCCTCTGTGTCCCATCTCAGGGTCATGCCAGGGGCTCAGGCTGTGGCAGCTGAGGGTGTTGCTGTTGCTGTCAGCTCCTGGGACAGGGCAGGGTTGTGTTTATGACTGAAAACACGGAGCTGACAGCTTCAAACAACACAAATGCCGGGATAAAAATATCCAAAATATCCCCTGGGCTCCCTGCCAGGCCTTGAGCTGCCGGCCACGGGGAGGGGCAGCAGCCAGCCCGGGCTGTGCCACCTGCCCCAGGCTGTCCCCAGGGTGCCCCAAGCCAGCCTGGGCTGTCCCCAGTGTGCCCCAGGACCCTGCGTGGCACAGGGTGTTGTGGCACAAGGTTCCTGCCCCTGTCTGGGGTGGCTTCCTTGGGGGCTGAGGAGCTTCAGGGTGACCTGGGATTTGTGTCCCACCCCTCCCAGCCTCGGGTGCATTGTGTGAGGCCATCTGAGGGCTGTGGGATCCATCCCTGCCACTCTGCCATGGTCTGGGGACACGAGTGACAGCTGAGTGCCCCAGCTCACTGCCACCATCCACCACTGCAGGCTGTCCCCTGTCCTTTGTCACCAGCGCTGGGACAAGGCTCCCCCCAGTGCAGACAAAGTCGTTGCTGTCACCTCTGTCCCCCAGGCCCCGCTGGTGACACAGGAAGGTCGGTGACACCCTGGTGACACCCCCTGGGCGGGTCTGGAGGCGGCTCCTTGGTGCTTGCTGGGGCCACCTCGAGCATCTTGTCCTTGTCCCCTCCCCTCCGTGTTTTCTGGGTGTTTTTAGTGTCCTGTTTTACTGAGCTTTCAGCGTTTCCTCCGACTCTTCTCTCCAGAGAGAGGGAGAAGTGAAGCTAAACAGGGAAACCACGCACTTTCCTCCCTCTGTCCCCTCTCCAGTGTCCCCACTGCCCCGTGGGGGTGACCTGGCACCTCTCCAGTCCCACACCAGGACATGGAGCTGCACCTCCCCATCCCCATCCCAGGCTGGCAGGGAAGAGAGAGCTCCTTTTTATTTTGGTGGTTTGGATTTTGGGGGTTGTTTTATTCCTGTTAACAGTTTTAAAGGGCAGACTGGTGTGGGGGTGTGTGTGTGTGTGAGGGGGTGTGTGTGTGTGTGTGAGGGGGTGTGTGTGTGTGTGTGTGTGTGTGTGTATGTGTGCGCTGTCCGTACTGCTCACGTCCCATCCCCTGCTTGTTTCCATGACTGGATTTCTGGATTTTAGACGGTTCCCAGCACTAATAAAGGTTTTCCTCCGCGGATGTTGGGGCTCAGCTCCTTTGGGGAGGGGTCACAGGGACACAGCACCGCAGCATCCAGCAGAGGGGCTCCTGTCCCACGAAGATGGGCACGGAGTGGCAGGCGCGGGGCGGCAGCGTGTGGGGTGTGAAACCCTGGGGAGGGACTGGCGGTGACTCCCCCGTGTCCCTCAGTGTCCCTCAGTGTCCTCTAATGTCCCCTTGTGTCCTTCAGTGTCCCTTAATGTCCCTCAGTGTCCCTCCATGTCCCTCAATGTCCCTCAGTGTCCTCCGTGTCTCTCAGTGTCCCTCAGTGTCCTCCATGTCCCCCCGTGCCCCCCGTGTCCCTCAGTGTCCCCCGTGTCCCTCAGTGTCCCTTCCTTGTCTCTCAGTGTTCCCCTTGTTCCTCAGTGTCCCTCAGTGTCCGTCGTGCCCCCCCGTGTCCCTCAATGTCCCTGAGTGTCCCCCGTGTCCCTCAGTGTCCTTCAGTGTCCTCTGTGTCCCTCAGTGTCCCTCAGTATCCTACCATGTCCCCCGTGTCCCTCTGTGTCCTCCCGTGTCCCTCTGTGCCCCCTTGACCCTCAGTGTCCCTCAGTGTCCTGCCGTGTCCCTGTGTGTCCCCCCATGTCCCTCAGTGTCCCCCGTGTCCCCGGTGTCCCCAGCCCCGCACCTGTGTGAGGAAGGGGTGCTGCAGCAGCCGTGCGGGGCCGGGCCGTGCCGCGGGCTCCCGCTGCAGCATGAGGGCGATGAGGGCGCGGGCAGGGCCGGAGAGCCCCGGGGGCGGCGGGTACCGAGCGCTGCGGATGCGCCGGAACAGCTCCGGCCGGTGGCGGGCCTGGAACGGGGCGTGCCCGGTCAGCGCCGTGTACCTGCGGGAGAGCGGCGGGCCTGTGCTCCCTCCGGCGTCCCTGCCTTCCTCCATCACCCCTCTTGCTCCTTTCAGTGTCCCTGGCCTGCCTCCATCACCCCTCTTCCTCCCTCCGGTGTCCCTGGCCTGCTTCCATCACCCCTCTTCGTCCTTTCTGTCCTCCCTTCAGCCTCTCCATCCTCCTTCCAGCTCTGCTGTCCTCCCTCCATCTCCCCCTATGCCACCCTCCCTCCATGTCCCCTTATCCAGTCCTCCCTCCATCTCCCCTTGCCCTCTCCATTTCTCCCATCCTCCCTCCATCACCCCTCATCCTCCCTCTGTCCATCTCCCCTTACCCAATCCTCCCATCTCCCCTCATCCCATCCTCCCTCCCTCCATCTGTCTCCCCTTATCCCACCCTCCCTCCATCTCCCCTCATCCATCTCCATCTCTCCCTTACCCTCTCTCCATCTCCCCTCTCCCTCCCTCCATCTCCCCATCCCCTCTCACACGGCACACCCCAGTGCCCAGACATCCGCGGGCTCCGCGTGTCCCCTGCGCTCCAGCACCTCCGGGGCCAGGAACGCGGGTGTCCCACAGAGCGCCCTGAGGAGGGGACAGCAGAGGTGACTCCAGGGGACACGGAAAACCCCCCCTGCATCCCCCCAGCCCCGCGGGTGTCCCACAGAGCGCCCTGAGTGGGGACAGCAGCGGTGACCCCAGGGGACACGGACAAGGTGAAACCCCCTCCCTGCATCCCCCCAGCCCCTCTCACCCCCAGCGCCGCCCGGGCGGTGCCGCCCGCTGAGCCAGCCCCAGGTCCCCGATCTTCACCCGCATCCTCTCCGTCACCAAGAAGTTACCTGTGCAGGGAGTGACGGGAATTGTGTCACCCTCGGGCCACCCTGGGGACACCCCCGGGTCCCCCCCAGCCCCACGCACTCGGTTTGAGGTCCCGGTGCACGAGGCCGTGGCCGTGCAGGTAGCGCAGGGCCGAGAGCAGCTGCCGCAGGTAATAGCGAACCTCGGGCTCCGTCAGGCGGCCCCGCGCCCGCAGGATGGCGGCGAGGGACTGCGGACAGAGCGACAGAGCTGGGACAGAGCGACAGCGGCTGGGGACACTGAGGAGGGACTGGGGACAGTGAGGAGGGACTGGGGACAGAGTGACAGCACTGGGGAAACTGAGGAGGGACTGGGGACAGAGCGACTGCTGGGACAGAGCGGCAGCGGCTGGGGACACTGAGGAGGGACTGAGGACAATGGAGGGGAACTGGGGATGAAGTGACAGGGACTGGGACAGAGGGACAGGGACTGAGGAGAGACTGGGGACAGAGCAACAGTGGCTGGGGACACTGAGAAGGGATTGGGGACAGAGGGACAGTGGCTGGGACAGTGACGAGGGATGGGGACAATGAAATGGGACGAGGACGGAGTGACAGGGATAGGGGGTGGAGTGACAGGGACAGAGCGAGGGAGGCCTGGGGACAAGAGCAAGGCACCAGGCTGGGCCCTGCTGAAGCCCCGGCCTGAGGGGGCTCAGTTTTGGGGTTCAGGGACTCAATTTTAAGGTGTTTAGGCTCAGTTTGGGGGTGTAGGGACTCGGTTTTGAGGTGCAGAATTTCAGGGGTGTTCAAGGGCTCGGTTTCAGTGTTCAAGGGCTCGGGTTTAGGGTGTTTAGGCTCGGTTTCGGGGTTCAGGGGCTCAGTTTCGGGGTTCAGGAGCCCGGTTTCGGGGCGCAGGTCTCACCCCCCGGCTGCACAGCTCCAGCAGCAGGTAGAGGTGCCCACCGTCGGCGAAGTGCCCGTGCAGGCGCACGATGTGCGGGTGGCGCAGGCGACACTGCAGCTCCCGCTCCCTCTCCACCTGCACCGACAGCAGCCCGGCAGCCCCGGGGGGACCCTCAGGAACCCTCGGGGACCCCCGGCACTGACCCCGCGGGGAGGGGAACCCACCCAGACACCCGGGGAGGGGCACGGGAGGGGCTGTGCGGAGACCCGCGAGCAGTGTCCCCTCTCAGTGGGCATTGTCCCCCCTCCCCGGGCACTGTCCCCTCTCCCCGGGCACTGTCCCCTCTCCCCGGGGAGTGTCCCCCCGCACTCACCCTGTCCCCCACGCCCGCGGCAGCCAGCCGTGCTCTCGGGATCACCTTCGCCGCGTAGCGCCGGCCACTTGTCACCTCTGTCACCTGGTAGCAGCGGCCGAAGGTGCCCTGCGAGTGACCCTGTGGGCTTGGGGGGCCCACCCAGGTGTGGGGCTCGCAGCCCCAGGGACCGGAGCTGCTGGGGGTCAGCCCCGTGCCTCAGTTTCCCCTTCCCCCCCTTGGATCGGGACCCTCGGGGGGTGCCGGTGTGTGACCCCCCCCATGGTGC